AAGAAGATCTTGGGAATGTGCAGGCTTCATCGCAACATCTCCCTAAAGCACACCTGGGGCTGGGGGCAAGGCAGAAGCCCTAAAATAAGTTTTGGGGACATGGGCTCCTCTGCCAGCAGCCAAACCCTCCATCCACCTTGTATGCCTTAGGCGCTGGCCAAAGCTATATTACTAAACCTAATACATGTATAGCACATATGGGGGACAAAGGCGAAGAGGAACAGGAGGCAGAAAAAGGCACAAAATGCTCAGCCATGCAAGATGGAAGAACACACACCCAAGCAGAGGCAGTGTAGAATAGCGGTTAGAGCTCTGGCCTTGGAGTCGGGAATGCAGGAACCGGAATCTCACCTCAGACACTTTCTAGCTGCATGACCCTGAACAAGTCAATTCACTTTTCTGGGCCTCAGTTTCCTCATCTATAAAATGGGGATAATAACAGTACCCACCTCATCAAGTTGTTATGAAGATCACATGAGTTAATATGTGTAAATGTTAGCTATACATCTATTATATATAATATAAAATTATATGTTACATTTATATTTATATATGTGTGTGTGTGTGTATATATATATATATATGTATATATACTAGATACATTTATGTTTATGTATAAACACACACACAGAAACTGCTACCAGGCAATGGTCTCTTCTGACTTTAATAAGAGCAAAAGTATATTTTTAAAATTACTATGTTCTTCAAAAAAGGCTGCCAAGAGAGAAATTAGCTTGATTTGTGAGTTTTCCTATGTCTCCTTCCTGTCTAAGTAAGACTGTACACTCAGCTCCCTGGGAGTCTGTCTCTTGGTTTAACTTTAGAGACAGGCGGATGTTGCAAAGTAGCGGGTCTAAGATTTTTCTCTTTGAGCAGCTCCTCAAATTGTAGCATTTTACTTCATTTTATTTTTGTCCAGACCTCTCATAATATTAGCACAGTGAGGGGGGGACCTCTCTATCAATACAAATCATCAACCTATGAGAGCTGTTTGGGGCACAGAGTGGTCAGATGACTTACCCAGAGTCACACAGACAGTGAAGGGCAGAAGGAAGACTCAAGCCCGTTACAGCAAAATCTGGCAGCCCAAACCCACTGCTCCAGCAGAAGTCTTATCTTTTGGGTGCCTTCTTTTGAGGGAACCAAAGAACTGCCAGAGCTACTATCATGAGAAGAAAAGAAGATGATCCCTGGGGATCTATGGATGGGATGGGATGGAGATTTAGAGCTGGTAAAGGTTTTAAAGGCCTTCAAGTCCAGTACTCCCATTTTGCAGATGAGAAAACAGACTCAGAAAAGGGAAGTGACTTGCCCAAGGTCATATGGGTATTGGGAAGCAGGAGTTGATGGGATCCTAGCTGTCCAGCTGGAAGGGACCTCTGACACCATCTGCTCCAACCACCTTGTTTTACAGAAGAGAAAAGTGAGACCCCGAAGGGTGGAAGGGTCTTACCCAAGATCATGAAGACATTCAGGATTCAAATCCTGGTCCTCTGACTCCAAAACTAGTACTTGTGCTCTTCCTATAGTACCCCACTGGTTCTGCCATGTTGTGTGATTACAACATAATGAGAAATACATACATCCATATATATATATATTATATAATATATGGACATATCTCTATCAATCTGTATAGAATCTATGCAGATTGATAGAGATACATCCATATATTATATAATATATATATTATATAAAAATATATGCATATTTGTGAGGACTTGACTGTATTTGAAGCAGTCTTTGTTCCTGTCAAAACCTAGGGCATCCAAGAACTCATTCCAACGAGGCTGCCTTGGCTCAACACATTGTGGGACTCCTCAAATTTGGAATGGCCTTGCAAGCCCACAGCACATTCTTTAGCCTGTTCTCCACGGAGGCAAGCCTTCATCCTGTGAGGGCCCGAATGTTGTCTCTGGCAACAGTCAGAAGGGACTCAGGGCCAAGAATGGAGAATCAGGTGAGGGAATATGCTGTGTTATGCCATTTTTGGTTAAAAAGTAATAAAGCCAAGGTATAGCTATAAAGAGAGAAGATGGGTTCTCTGAATTGTACAGTGAAAGGGCCCAGGCTTTGCAGTCGGGGGACCTGAGTTCCAATTCTGCCTCTACTGCTTATTAGCTGTGTGACCTTGGAGAAGTTGACCTCCCTGTGCCTTGGTGTCCTCACCTGTAAAATGAGAGGTTTGGGCTGTTGATATCTAAGGTCCCTTCCTAGAATAAATATATAAACTGGCCTAAAAGGCAAATCCTAGGGAAAATAATGGATTTAGAACCAGAAGTACCTTAGAAATTATCTAATCCAATCCTTCATTTTACAGTTGAGGAAACTGAGACAGCCAGGTTGTGACTTTTCCAAGGCCGCACAAATAGTAAAAGGTAAAGTCAGAATTTGAACCCAGGCCCTCAATCTCCAAACACACAAATCTTCCCAAAACTATTCTGAGCAACGGCAGCGTCGCACTGTGGGAATCACCGTGTAGCCTCCTGTGATGTGTACTTAAAAGGGTAACTAACACTCATGTGACTGTGTGAGTTCTGGGGTATCAACTTCAAAACCTCCTTCCTTTACAACACAGTACTGGCCCCAACAGTCATCAAACCTCCATAATTAAGCATCCATCCACTCAGCCTTCCTCCTCTTTACTGATGTCACCCATTTCCTTAAAGAGGTCCTATCCTTATTAGCCATTATTGTTGTACAATCCCAATAAAGGCCAGCACTCTGCCCTTTCTGGTTATAGAGGATTTCAAAGCGCCTTCCACAAAGTGCCTCGGCCACAAAGGAATCTGTGTCAGCAGTAGGCTTTGAAATGGCGAGGCAGATGGAACCCACGGGCTGCTTAGACGCAGGTTTAACAAGCCTGGAATTAAACATATCAAAGCTAGCCAGTTGCCTCTTCTCCTTGTATACATCCCTTTTCCTGTTTTTTTGACCTTCACTGTGGCACCTGAATAAGGTGGGGCTGATTGCCCAAAGGACTGCCATGAGCCCCTGGGAGAAGGGTCCCATCTCACTTTCCTCCAGCCCTCCTAGGAGGAGTAGAGAAATTGTTAAGTCCCATTGTCACCCAGCTGGCAAAAACCCAAGTGCCCTCTGGGAGAATCCCAGACCTTACCCTAAATCTCCCACACATGTATGTGCATACACACACACACACACACACACACACACACACACACACACACACAGAGCTAAGTTTCCCTCTGGTATTTTTACAGTTCTTCCAAACACTCCAAAAAAGGAACATGAAATTGCAATGTCAGATTCCACTTCCCCAACTGTCCCAAAGCTGTAAATATGAGGGGGGTGGGCAGATCTAACAACCCTCTGGGAGGCTATATAAAATAATAAGCCAATTCTCAATGTTCTTGGAAAAGAGAAGTCGTGGGTTTGGCATCTACCACCTCCTCTGCCAGGCTAAAAAGGGCAGATTTAAGGTTGGCAACCCCCTCCAGGTGTCCCTGGAGATAGCTGAAGGAGGAAATCCCAGGAGGGATGGAATTTTCCATAGTGGGACATCCCCACAATCAACAAACTGAAACAGTGCTTGAATTTCCTCACTCAATGCCCCCCCCCTCCAAACTGTAGACCTCCTTTTTGCGGAAACGAAATCCATGGCCGTGGTGTGACCTATGCATCGGCGACTCCCTGGGGCTGGATTTTCTTCCAGGATTCTTGCTGGGCATTTTTTAAAAAGCCAGGGTTAGCCCCTTTGCTACCCACCAGTCACAGGACCATCTAGAGTGGAAGGGACCCCTGAGGCCATCTTGTCCAATTCCTCATTTTACAGATGAAGAAACTGAGGCTCAGAGAAGATCAGAGGATTGTTAGGTCTAGAGCCAGAAGCACTCTGTAAGGTGATCTATTCTAACCTGCTCATTTTACAGAGGAGGATGTTGAGACCCACAGATGTTAAGGGATTTGTCCAGGGTCACGAAGGGAGGAGGCATCAGAAGAGGGATTCAGACTCAGGTTTTCTGACACCAAAACTAGTCCACTTCCCCATACTGGCTTCAGCTGCCAATGGATGACTCACACCTCACAATGCAGAAAACGACTTTTCTGCTGCTGACTGGTAAGAACCTTTGTTTCTTGGCAACTTATTAAAACATACAGCAAAAATGCACTGTATTCTTTTTTTTAATTGCAATAGAAATGTAAGCTCCCTGAGGGGAGACAACACCTCCATTTTTTTCTTCCTCTGCACAGTGCCCAGCTCCATCCTTTCCACATAGCAGTGGCTTAACATGACTGTTGAACTGAACTAAGTTTTATCCAAGTCTAAGATTTTATAATCACCACACTGAACCCTGAATATTTTTACACCATTAAAAATATTCTAACTTGTTAAAGATTCACTTGATCCAGAATCAAGGGAAAAGGATTCAAAACCTTCCTCGGATACTTATTACCTGTCTGATCTTGAGCAAGTCATTTGATTTCCTTGAGGGCAGAAATGATTTCTTTCCTTTCTATCTTGGTATCCTCTGCAGCTAGCCCAGGCCCTCGCATACAGTAGGCACTTAATGAATGCCCACAAGTACAGAAGTTGAGAGTTGGGGGAACCACAGTGACCATCTAGTCGTACTCATATCTGAAATGGAATCCACAGGGGTGAGGAACCTAGGGCCTAGAGGTCACATGTGGCCCTCTGGGTCCTCAAGTGCAGCCCTTTGAATCCAAACTTCACAGAACATTTGTGAAGTTTGGATTCAGTCAAAGGGTCACACTTGAGGACCTAGAGGGCCACATGCGGCCTCTAGGCTCTAGGTTCCCTGTCCCTGTTAGTGCAATATACACCATAAGTTTGCTGAATGATTGATTGAGCCTCAGTTTCCTTGCCTATAAAATGTGAGGATTAGACCAGATGGTCTCTAAGATCCCTTTCAATTCTCAATTTAGTATCTTCTCATCCCCATTACTAACTGTATAATATTAAAATATGAAAAAAGTTAAAAGTTGCCCCCAAAACAAGAAAAAATTTAAAAGTAACTTGCCTGTCTTACAGAAGAAATAGATGAAGGAGGATGAGAATGTGAGTGGTTCCCAGATCTGGTCCTACGGTCAGAGTCCTTGCTCATTTAATAGGCCAACACCCCCCGGAGTCATATGAGACACAGATCCTAGCAAGGAGCAATAACCACGTTCAGAAGACTCTTAATGAGCACTGTGCCGTCTCTGTAACCGCTGAAACGTCTCCTCCTCTCTCCCGTGGGCCCCAAAATAGAGCAGAGTTCAAATGGGTTTCCGTCCGTGGTTTCATCCAAATTCTCTAGAGGACACACCTTCCTGAGTCTCAGCTTCATCACACCCTCGCTCTAGTTTTTCACCTACCGAGTGAGAGACCTTTGATACGACCAGAGGAGGGATTTTTGAAAAGGGAAAATCTCGACTTCTGTGAGTGCCGGCCGCTTCTGCCCGATGGATGAGACCAAGGGCTGTCACCTCCAGCCCTGAAAGGAGGCTCCATGGGAAGACTCCAGGACAAGGACCTGGATCTGGATCTTAGCTCTTGCTACTTAATCTCTAGGCCTCAGTTTCCACTTAGGTAAAATCTAGCTCCACATCCTGTGATGTTAAAAAAATGTATTTATCAAAAATATTTAATAAATTTCCTTGAAATTGGGACTTTTCACACAACATAAATAATACTCTACTAAAATACACATTGAGAATTCCTATTAATGGTAAATTTCCCTAAAAATAAATTAAATAGAGGGGGGCATGCTACTGTGAAGAGAGCATTGAGCCTCAAGAGTAAAAGGATATGGAATCAAATCCTACCTGTTACCTGTGTGACAAATGACAATCTCTCTGGGTCTCAGTTTCCTCAACTCCTAAATGAAGACTCTGGAATAGACGGCCTCTGGGGCCCTTTCCAGTTCTACGTCTACGGTCTTACTTTAACTCTCATGCCATATTTCTTACGGCATCCCACTGTCTGCCATTGCTGCAGGCCTGAGAAATGTCACTGTGAGACCGCTCGGTGGAAATCTGCTCAAGTGGGGGCTGGAGCTCTGTGTTCAGCGCTAGCTCCGGTCTCTTTTAAACTAGGCCCGAATCAGCCGCCACGGCCTGCCCACTCTCTCTCTATCCTCTTCCAACCTGGGTCTGAGGGTTGTGGAACACTGCCGGCACTCTGATTCTAAAAGCCACCAATTTTCACCCACCGTAGTGTTCGAAAAAGGAACTTGTTTCTTCCCGTTCAAGTGACAGGGTTGAAAAAATATTCTGACTTGAAAATTCTTTTCAATTGCATTTTCCTTCTCGGCTAGATGACATGAAAACAATTACCTTCAAATCAATCAACAAGCATTTATGAAACACCTACTGTGTGCCAGGCACTGTGCTAGGTTCTGAGGATACAAAAACAAAAACTGAATACTTCCTGCCCTCAAGTAGCTTACACTCTATAGTGAGAGTCAACATGTACATATATAAGATTATACATATATATACATATACACACACATATATCTATATCTATCTATATCTATATCTATCTATCTATCTATACACACACACACACACACACACACATAAATATCAGGTAATTTGTAGAAGGAAGGAAACAGCAGTTGGGAAGGTGGGAAAAGGTTCAGATCAGCCTAATTTGGAAGGTGGTGTTGAAATGGCGCTCTGAAGGAAACTGAGGATAAGGAGAATGGGCATTCCAGGCCTAAGGGGCAGCCTGCGAAGAGACTCAGAAAAGGAATGCCACATGTAAGACACAGCAAGAAGGCCGGTCAGTCAACAAGCACCTACTAAGAGCCAAGCTCCTACATGGTAAGCATGGCGGACACAAAGCAAAACAAAAACAGCGATATGCAAACAATTATGTACATACAAAATAACTACAGGGCAGGTGGAAAATAATCTCAGGTACTAGCAGCTGAGGGGATCAGAAAAAGCCTATTGTAGAAGAGGAATTTGAGTTTTCTTAAAGGAAGCAAGGGAAGCTAAAAGATGGGGGTGAGAAGGGAGAGTAATACAAGCGGGGGGCAGCCAGGGCAAAGGCCCAGATACGGGAGATAGTGGGTCATGTGTCAGCCAAAGAGCTGCATCATAGAGTCCGTGGGGGACAATAAATTATAAGAAGGGCTTTAAAGGCCAAACAGAAGACTTTATAAATATTGAATCCTGAAGGTAAGAGGGAGCTACTCCAGCTCCTTGAGTAGGACAGAGTGATATGGTCAAACCAGCAATGAGAAGTCACTTTGTCAGCTGAGTGGAGGATGGATTGGAGTGCATTTCTCTAATCAATAGTGATTTAGAGCATTTTTTCATATGACTATAAATAGCTTTGATTTCTTCTTTTAAAAACTGTCTTGAGTTCACATCCTTTGACTATTTATCAATTAGGGAATGACTGATTTTTGTAAATTTGACTCAGTTCCTTATATATTTGAGAAACAAAGGCTTTATCGGAGAAACTTGCTGTAATAATTTTTTATGTTACTTCATTGTCTATGGTAAAATGTAGCAAAATGTAGTTTCCCTGATTATCTCTTTTAATTAGGTCTATTTTTTCTACTGCTTTGTCTGAGAGCATGATTGAGGTCCCTGCCTTTTTTTAAACTTCAGCTGAAGCATATTAGATTCTGCTCCAGCCCTTTATCTTAACTCTGTGTACGTCTTTTTGTTTCAAATGTGTCTCTTACAAACAACATATTGTTTTATTCTAATCCATTCTGCTACCTGCTTCTGTTCTATAGGTGAGCTCATCTCATTCACATTCACAATTATGATCTCTCACTGTGTATTTCCCTTCATCCCATTGTCTTCTGTTTATCCTTCTCTCTCTCTCTCTTTTTATCTTGTCCCTTCTCAAAAGTCTATTTTGCTTCTGACCACTTTCTCCCCTAATCTGCCCCCTCTCTTTTATCATCCTCCCCTTCCCATATCTCTTATCTACTTCCCCTCTTATTTCCTTATTGGGTAAGTTAGATTTCTATATCCAAATGAGTGTGTGTGTGTGTGTGTGTGTGTGTGTGTGCATGTGTATTCTTCCCTCTTTGAACCAGTTCCAATGAGAGTGCAAATTAAAACAACTCTGGGGTACCACCCCCACACCTATTAGAAATGACAAATGCTGGATAGGATAAGGGAAAAATAGGTACACTAAGGAACTATTGGTGGAGTCGTGAACTAGTGCAGCAATTCTGGAGAATGATTTAGAACTAGGACCAAAGAGTTATAAAACTGTGCATACCCTATGATCCAGCCACACCACTACTAGCTCTGTACCTCAAAGAGATCAAAGGAAAAGGAAAAGAACCTATATGCACAAAAACTCTTATAGCAACTCTTTTTGTGGTGGCAAAGAATTAGAAAACGGGGGGGGGGATTTCCATCAGTTGGGGAATGGCCAAACAAGTTGTGGTATATGATTGTGATGGAATACTATTGTGCTATAAGAAATGACAAGGTGGATGGCAAGACCCACATGAACTGAAGCAAAGTGAAGTGAGAAGAATCTGGAGATTATTGTGCACAGTAATAGCAATATTGTAACAATGATCAACTGTGAAACATTTGGCTACTGTTACCAAAACAACGATCCAAGAGGATTTGGAAGGACTCAGGATGAAAATTGCTATCCACCTCTAGAGAGAATTGATGAACTCTGAGTACAAATGTTTTTGCTCTTTTTTTCTTTCTTTCTTTGCAATATGGCTAATAAAGAAATGTTTTGCATGGTTTCACATGTATAATCAATTGATATCATTCTGATTGCCTTCTCAGTGGGTAGGAGAGAGGGAGAGAATTTGGAACTCAAAATTTTAAAATAAAGGAATGTAAAAATAAATAATAAATTTTTTTAAAAAATTTCATTCTTCATAGAGGAAGTCCATAGGCTTCACTAACCTGGGTTCAGGACACAAAAATAGTTGAGAATCCCTTTATTTAACAAACTTCTCCAATTTACAAAAGAGATTTTGTGCTTTCTGCTATTGAGGGGTGGAGGAGGGTGGGGAGGGGGACTGTTCATCTAACCCTGTACTTACATGGCAGACTCCTCAAAGGAATCTGGAGTTTCTGGCTGAGCATAAGGAAATAGGGGCCAATTTATTAACTAAGATAAATCCCAAACCTGGCAAAAGGCAGGATTCCATTATCGCAATGTGTGTGTGGTTAAAAAAACAAAACATAAAGGATTATACCAAGCCCCGGGCTCCTTTCCTGCTCTGGGGAAGGATTCTTTTCTCCCAGGGTGGCAACCTCAGAGGTATTATAATACAGTGGAAAGTATGCCAACTTGAGAGTCAGACGGCCTGAGTTCAAATTCTGGCTCTGCTACTATCTCTAGGGCCTCAGTTTCCTCATCTGTAAACTGATGACTCTCAGGTCCCAGCTAGCTCCAGACACGTGATCCAGAACTCTAGAACTGGACTATGGAATTCCCATTAGTGATGATTCTACAGGAAGAAAAAAAAAAGAATGAGTATACTGCATACTGATTTTTTTTTTTGATAGCTCTCAAATTCTCAACAATTAGCATCCCTTCCATCAAGAAGGCTGGCAGAATTCAGAAGGGCCAATGCCATCTAGACTTGAAAGGTAAATAAATAAGAAGCAATGGGATTCCCCCACTTCTTGAGGATCAAAGGCCCTATGGAATTTCAGCCCTCGCTCTCTTGATTTCTTGAATTGTTATTGGATTAAGTCTAACGGGTGAATGAGGATGACTACTTTTTGTTTTTGCATTCCTGAAATTTTCTGGTGTTTTTATTTTTTTTTAAAACCCACACAGGTTTTAGGTATTTTTCCTATGACACCTGGCAGTTCATGAAAGCAAACCTCTGAGCTTAGTGGGCACATGGTATTTGGGACCAGTGATGGTCTGGCCTACCATTCTACAGCATGAAACTTAGAATATCACAGATCCGAGGATCTCAGAAGCCATCTATTTATACAGAACACCATAGATTTAAAGCTGGAAGGGGCCTTAGAAGGCCATCAAATCCAACCTCCTCATTTTACAGATGATGAAACTGAGGCATGGGGCAGTGACTTGTTTCTTATAATCACACAAACAGTTGCTGCCAGGGGCAGGATTTGAGCCTGGGGCACACTGACTTGAGAGTTAGTATTCCTTGCACTGTGCCACGACATTGTATTTAAAATGCTGCCTATAATCATTCCAGAGGGGAGGGAGGATTTCACAAGCTGTGCTTTTCTGATACCCCGTCATTAAGTGTCCCTGACAGTCCTCGGGAGCCGCACTTAAAAGGTACAGAGGGTGCAGGGGCTGCCACGTCACCTGCTTTCTGGTTTGAGAGACAAAAATAACCGTGTCACTGCAGAATGGCTACCCAGATGATGTACCCGGCTCCCCATGGTGACAGCCGCTGTTCCCCAGGTGAGAGAGACAGCCAGCAACAGCCCTTTTCTC